TAACTAGAATAACTAGGGATTTCCTTTATATTCCAATAGCAAAAATTAGTATAAAACGAATATTCAGTTATACTAAGGATTTATATTCATATCAATATAAACAACTTACTTCAGAAACTATTCGTAATAGTATTTTCCTTTTTCATCATTAATAGAAATCACAAAAGGAGACTCCAAATAAAAATAAAGGCTATTATATATCCCGGGATATTATACAAATTGCTGAAGAATCTATAGCTTTAACTGAAAAGGAAATCGAAGCCGAAATTGCGAATTTATAAGATGAGATTAATCTTAAAATCAAATAATTTGATAATTAAAACCAAAAGAATTATATTAACGATAAAAAATCGAATATGAATATTATATATACAGTACAAAAGGAGTTTCGAAAATGTTATTAACTACAAAGAAATATATTATTATTAGAATATCATAATATTTTTTTCAAAATAATTACGAAGTTGAGCAAGATATATTAAATCAAATAAATAAAAGATTAGAAAACGAAGACCTAGCAATTTATAATGATTTATAGATTACTACAAAAGATCAAACTATACAACCCGATTTACCAAGTTATAATTCGAAAAGGCAACGAATTGAAGATAATGAGATTATAATTAATAAATTTAATAGAGAAAGGAATCAAAGAAGATTTTATAATATACTTAATAGATATAAATAATTATCCGAATTGAAAATTAAAGAATGTTCTATTAATCTTTCTATTAATTTTGAACAATACACTTTATAACCCTAATTACTATCTATTACCCACTAAATTACTCATTACCCATTAAATTACCCATTACCCATTAGATTACCCATAGTATTTTGGGTTACCCATAGTATTTTGGGTTACCCATGGTATTTTGGGTTACCCATAGTATTTTGAATTATCCATAGATAATGGGATAGGTTTTTTAGAAATCCTACCCATCTATTGGGTACTCAATGAGGTGTATTACCCACCCATTAGGACCATTACCCAGTGGGTGGGGTCCCACCCACTGGGTTTTCTACGCAGACTACCATCAGATATCGCAATTAGCTAAGAGCTAGAATCCAGAATGGATAACAAAGCAATACGTCAAGCTAGGTGTCTTTTTGATGCGGGTCAGTTTATACTTCCACTAGTGACACTAGTTGATGAGCGACAAATTTGTTGCCGGCAGCCGGTGATTTATGACTAGACAACAATCTTCCGGCAATACTCGGAATTCAACCCTCAATATGTAGTTGAATCTTTCCTACCAGTATGAGATAGCAATAAATCACGAGTGTGTTGTGGCGGTAGTAGAAAAGGGAAAAGCTGGAGATCTGTAGTGATGGTGATGAAGATGCACGATTTGCGCGCGGTGAATTCAAAAGTCTCGAGGACCTAGTCTGATAGATCTTCTGCATTTTCAATTACCTGTAGAGTCTCCACGATCATCCACAGTACCTCTACAAACATCTAAATCTAACGTCTATAATCATTTTTGATCCTGTAATCCTTATTTGGCCCTTTCACACTGTATTCCTGTCTCCACTCCTCTACATTGACCCCCTTGAATCTAAACTCATATTCCACATCATACGTATCAGCAATACAAAGATGACTTGACTTTGCTCTCCACCCCATGATCTTTGCCTGTCCATCTCTCTTATCTTGGACTTCGGGAATTAAAATCTCCATCTCATGAAACAAATAATCTACACCCAGATTATCATCAGTTTTGACAAACCATAGGCTAAGCGTATCAGTATCCTCTCTATATCGATATACGTATCTTCTACTGGCTTTAAACGTCATTCCTGTATCCGTTACGAAGTCTCCTTCTTCGATATACAAGTATTCTGAATCGAAAGATGGGGCGGTAGGGAAGCGAGGGAGAAATTTCGCGGTTCCCGTGAAGGTACCTGAGGGGAAGGTGGAAAGAGAACTTTTTAGAAAGCGGGAAAGTCTCCATGTTCCTTGAAGGGAACGAAATATAGCCTTGGAGACGAAGGCTCCGCGTGTGGAGGAATTGAACGTAGAAGAGATGGCAGAGAGAGCGAGTGCTGCTTGTTCTTTCTGATCAGGACTTGCGTGTGAATAAATATAGCGGGATGGAAGCACGATTCCTGTACGCGCTTCTGGGTCATCTGTGGCTTCTTGCCGCTTGATCCCGACGGCTGTGGCGAATGATTCCATTAGGTATGCATAATCACCCATTGGAAATTGAGCGAGTCGAGGATCAGTGCGTAGCTGAAGAAGTTCGTCAAGGCTATCGTCTAATTCTAAAGTTTTCTGTGCATGTGCGTCGCCAGACCAGAGTTTTCCCAGGAATCGAGCTTGCATTTCCATGACGCCCCAATAGGGACTTCGGTAAAACCCTACAAAGCCGAGAGAGGGAATCTTTGCATTGACTGTAGAGTGTACATTTAAGGCCAGCGGTAGTTTGTTGCTTGATTGATCAAACGAGAGATGTTGGAGGATTTCCTTGGGCAGGAAATCGAGTGATGGAGATGCATCAAAACCAGTTGCCAAGATTACTGCTGCAACATCGTTAATTACCTGTTTATTTCCGTTCTCCTCGACAGTGATGGAATTCGATTGATTGGGTTCTGCACCAATTACCTTTCCTCGGATCGTTTTGATATCTCCAGCTCGGACAAAATCGACATAGTTATCACTAACTGTAAGTCGTGGTGGTTCAGAGCAAACATCTCCTGCTATTGCTAGATGATCTGTACCTATTCCGCTCTGGTCTGTCCCCAGATAATTGTTCAAGAATTCGTTAGTTGTTTTTGCCATCTCTGGTGATATGTGACCAGATGAGTTTTTTATAGGCCCAGGAGGTTTCCATCCAAGATTGTACATGACCAGATCGAGAGGCAAAAATGTAGGTGCTGGATTTGGTATCTGAAGCGAGCATTAGCAGCAGTAGGTTCCAATTATTAGATATGTGTTAGGTACCTTTTCAGCTTCGGGCTTTGCACCATCAATGTTCGGGTTATTTGGTAGTGTCAAGGTCATCACCCAAAATGGCTGTTGAATCACATTGTAGATCTTGTATTCTTTTGCATTTGGAATCGAACGTTCCGTAGAGTTCACGGAAGAAGATGCTTGCAAAGCTACTGCTGCTGCGGTTTCAACACCAGACATTTGCCCTCCAACAACCACGATGTTCTTGCCCTTGGGTGAAGAGAGTCTTCCATTGTCGGTCAACGCACTATTGACATCACGAAGGTTGGAACTGTGCCAGACTGGAGCTGGAAAATTTGCAAGAGTATCGGGTATCTTAGGCTTTCCAAAGAAGCCAGTGGCCACAATTACTTGATCGAATTCGTAAACCTGCAGGGATTCGGTAGACTCAGTATGTTGAACATGCACATTCCATTTCCCTGGCGTAGCTGAAGTGGTTTGCCAATTGTATGGCGGTTCAACCTTGGCGACTTTGACACCCATCTTGATAGAATATCCAGGGTACATTTTGATATAGTCTTCGAGGTACTTTCCAACCTGCCATGCTTTCGGAAAAGCAGGCGATGAAGCAGACCATGCCAAGTCACTGAAGCTGACTGTATGACGACTTTGGTTCGTACACATATCTGGATTCAATAGACCATCATCATCACGAGATATAGGCCATAATCCACCTATTCTCTGCGACTGCTCAAAAACTGTCACGTCAAAGGTGCCTTTTGGATGATCGTGAGTGAGTGTTTTGGCTGTTACGAGCCCTGATGGACCAGCGCCTAATCCGAGAATGTTAGCCATGAACACCTCGAAAGATGAGTGCACTCACCAATCACACATACAGTCTTCGTTCGAGTTGACATTTTGACAAGTGTGTAGCTTGCACGCATAGAAAGCTAGGGGATCCGGATTTCAGCTTGTCAACTCGGAACCTCACAATTTAAAGACAATCCAACCAACCAATGTATTAACAGCTTAGTGATACTCTCGATAGCTGATCTGTAGTGTGCATCATATTCATCTCCTAATGTGTACAACTTTTGGGGAGTTTTTGTCGCTGCACATTCCACAGCTAATTGGAGATCTGACGCGCGTGATCACGTTTCAGCGTTTTCAGTTAATAGTCACGTGAGACTGCGCGATAGGCTCAAAAGATTGGAGCCGATCTCAAGGTGAGGCTATTCCCTGCTTTAATAGAAACTGTGCGGTGCACGGAGAGTCTGGCCCGGAATGACCCCAGAGTCCGTGCCACTTTCGCCCCTCTCTCCATTTTTTTCAACAGATTCCGGACAATTCAATACTACCTACTAATAATTCAATATACAGATGAACCTGGATATACGGGAATCCCCTTTATACGGGCATATTTTTCAACCTCAAAAAAATTTATATGGTGAAATTGACCTATACGGGCATACCTTTATATAAGAGCATATGGTCCTAATTTTCCCAATGCCCTTATAAAAATTGGTGATAGTGGTCCAAGCTTTAGCCTATCACATGATGAATTCATAAATTCACATGACAAATTTAATGAAATGGGGAGGCTGAAGGTATAAAACGAGGCTAAATGCCGAGGCTGAAACTGTATATACGGGCATTTAGGCCTCGAAATTTTTAGGCCCTTATATCCAGGTTCATCTGTACTGTCATTTATGTTGAATATTATGATTACTACATAATAATACAGCACTTTCATTTCTAAGGACGAATCTTCGCCGGGAGAAAATGATCCAGCGAGTCTTGATAAAGCACAGTCAACACTTTCATCGTGGGCTGAGATTGATCCGAGTAGAAAGATAATCTGAGCAGAGTGAAGCTATTTCATCATGTAATATAATTGGGCATTTATGGGATAGATTACTCAAGAACTTGATCATGTTACGATCAAAAGCAGAGGTATCGAGGTCTAGCTCTTTTTCTTCTTTCAAAATTAGAACATACAATGTAAGCATGACCCTTCCAAAAACATATCTTTTCTTGAAAGGCGATAGTGAGACTTTTTGTGGCGCGACGACCAGCTCTGAGGTCCCCGGAGATCATGTAGAGCCGATTAGATAACTGTGTCGGGTCCAGTCGTAGATGTCTTTGGCTTGAGAAACTGTTTGAAGATGGGAATGGCAGTCAAGGCTGCGGTAATCATGAATAATAAAAATTCGAGCGCCCCAAAGACTGTCGCCACGATGAGGATCGTACAAGAATTTCTTCCCGTCGAACAAGTGTCGGTTGGAATTTGAACGGCTACAGCGATGAAACCAGCGAGCCATGAGAGAACAGCCACAGTCTCGACGGCAACGTGAATGTAGCCAATCAACACACCATCATGGAATTTGATCCTAGCAATGGTGTGAAAGATGACAGTTAGAAACGTCTAGCCAGCGCAAAACATTAGAAATCCCCATGAATCAGGGACGCCGTAGTAATCGTAGAAGCTACCGAAGTCGAAGTGTTCGTAGACAATGTGGCCGCGAAACAGACGAATAGCTAAGCGACGTAGTCAGACTCAGCAGTGCATCTACAAACTGGAATTCAACACACTGTAGTCGTCAGTTCCCATAACGATGATGGCGAAGATAAGCTGCAGTACTCGCAGGACATGATCAAGCATTCTGTTCGTCAAATTCACAATCATGATATGTAGCAGTCTATGGTCGAATAGATCACGGTAACGGACACAGACGAATACTTTGTATTGCAGCTGTCAAACGAGTCAGCGAAACGTCCACACTATAAGTTGAGAACATCTCATCTTAAATATGGCTTGGCAATAATACTGTTAAAGCCTCTTGGATGGAGATGTAATGTTGTATTCTTGTGTAAAATATGTCAGGACTTCTCTGAAAGGTGGTGAGCTGAGCAGATGTTTCGTGTTCCAAGACAGCAAAGAGAATATGGATATTGCAAGCCTTTATATGTATCAGTTACTAGATCCATGATTTCTCACGAGTACTCTCAAGTGCGTAAGATTTCTGAAAATGGCTTCCTATTGTGGTGTCTACCTACTTCCTACGAAGTATTGGAAAATCCTCTTGTGGTCTTGAACATACACAGCCATGCGAGCGTGCTTACTCATCTGCTTATGTAGTCATATTGATCTATTCTGATTCGTCTGTTCGTAAAAACTTAAAAGTGGCTCCTCGCTTGGTAGGGATGCTATGTGATGACTCATGAGTCATGAGCATCTATTACCGCTAGAAGTCTTGAACTTTAGAATGAAATCTAATCTTCCCTTCCGGTTTAGAATTCAATCAATATTATTTTCATATCCAAACTCATGCCGGAATCAATTTTTATTCAACTCTCTTTATAAAAATCTAAATCCTGCTTTAAATGAAGGGGTTTAAGTCTGTTGTAAAGTACTTTTTCAGGGGATAGGTAGTCGCTCATTTTAAGGTTATCTGATAAAACAGCCTTGGTGGATTTAGTAGATTGTGCACGGACCATGCTAAGATTCAGCATTCTGGGACTGCCAGACACTTCCTTGTGCGGTCGTGGGGCAGATATAAACCAAACAACCCGGCAGACTACCAGTTGCTGCGCCGAAGTTTGAGCATGAAACTTAAAGATGAGGGTTAAAGTCGGCCGGCAGGTCGACGACTTACTTCTGTTCAAATGAAATCATTTCAATCATCGAGATGGCGAGAGGTCCGATTCTACAACGTAAGCGACGATCTGGTCCAAAGGTTAAAACAGGATGCGGAACTTGCAAGTAAGATCAAACTGCCCTCTTGTAGGCGGTACACCAACTTACACAGCTTTCAGAACCAGGAGAATCAAGTGCGACGAGGCCAAACCGAGTTGCCAACGGTGTTCAACGACCGGACGAAAGTGCGATGGGTACAGTAGCGATATTATGATTTCCAGCCAAAAATTCACGGACTGTATAAACCTCATTCAACAAATCTCTGTCCACATACCCGGGAACGCAGAAGAAAAAAGAGGCTTCGATTTTTTTCTTCGAAATACAGCAGCGGAGCTATCTGGATACTATGACTCCTCATTTTGGGGAAACCTTATACTGGCTGCTTCTACACAAAAGCCTTCTTTACGGCACGCCGTGATAGCACTAGGAGCCTTGCATGAAGACTTCTCACGGAAGAGGCTGCACTCCGCTCCATCATTCGAGAACCAAAACACCCAATTGGCACTAAGTCAATACTCGAAAGCCATAGGAGCACTGCGGAGGTCTTTATCACATGGGAAAGAAGAACCGCTCACGGCGCTCATGGCCTGCATACTGTTTGTCTGCTTTGATAGCCTGCGAGGCTATTATGAATCAGCAATGGTCCATCTTCAAAGCGGGCTTGGAATTCTGCGGGATATGAGGAAGTCTTCTACAAGGAATCAAATCATCGAGGAAAAAATTGCTCCTCTTTTCAGGAGACTGTCGTTACAGTCTATCATTTACGTTGAGACGAAAAGTAAGCATGATAAGCTAAGCTTTGTTGAAAAGTTGATAGACGTCTCCGGGAAAGATGATGTAATTTTTGAAAAGTTTAAAAGTATAGAAGAAGCTCGGAATGCTTTAGATCAAGCCACGGATGGTTTATTCAGATCATTCTATATGATGGAGTAAGCAAACTATGTCCTTCTATGTTGAAGCTTCGAAACCAATTCCATTTACTAAGCACATGCTAACTTGAAAATATACAGGCGTTTCCTACCTATCATTTTACAACCCACAGAAAGCCTCGCTACATTCGACAAATACACATCTCGTTTATTTCTCTGGAACCTTGCATTTGAACAATTTATGTTATCCAAAAGCAAGGATTTCACCAGCAGGGAAGTGCAAGGTGCTGCACTCTTGAAAATACATCACACGACTTTGAATATCATGGCTAGCATGTTTCCTGACATCAGTGATATGACAGTTGTGATTGATATGGTGGACACGGATAGGTTCTCGAAATATCTGGACGACTTTCAAATCATCATCGACTTGTCAAGGTCGCTAATCGTAGCTGCGGAACAGGATGCGATGAACGGAAGGCCGCCACTTACTTTCAGCAGTGATTTTGGCATTATAGGACCGCTTTATTACGTCTGTATCCACTGTCCTACCCCCTCCATTCGAGAGACAGCAATGGAGCTAATGTTAAGATGTCCGCGACGAGAAGGGATGTGGGATAATGCAATTGTCGCTCAAATGATCCAACAATTCTGGGAACTGGGAGCAAGACACAAAGAATCGCAAAAGATGGGTCTTGAATTAGATGAATTTGGATTGCCAGTGCCTTTCAACGACCGGGGAATTGTTCACACCGCATTTTTCGGTCGACCAACAGCAGTGAATACAACTGACCTCTGCCAATCTACTCCTGTAGACTTTTCTCCCTCTGAGCCAGTGAAATTTCCACTATCTTGGGGATTGTGACCGAATTCAACGACGGATGGGAATAGGACACGTCAAAATACAGAAGCGGGCGCCCTAACTTTGCTGGGTGAAGTAATTGCACAGTAACATGGTCTGTACGGACACGTCATCGATACAATACGTCCATCGAAATGGCACGCGCTAGTATTTGATTGATTCCGTCTCTATTAGCCTATCGTGGTGTCGAAATTGTGCAGAATATGAGAAAAGCCTAGTGGCGCGAGATAACAATCAATGTACTACTGAGCACGTATGCATATGTAAATTAAGGATTTGAAAGACATGTTGTCAAACATTGCATGCTCGGCCATGTTTGGAATGAAGTAAAACAGAATATTTTCTCCAAGTGCGCGGGATCAGGGCAAAGGACATGGGCGCGACTAGGCGGCGGAGGAAAGCTAGAGCGGCACTCAGCAGCATCGAAGAAACGATCAACAGTGTTATCAGCGACTATAATTCTCTTGCTGCATATTGATTTACTGGTATTAGAATAGCTTTGGAATAATTATATACTGATCAAATCAAACCTTTGTAGATTTGCGACGAATGTATTAAGACACTGGAACCTCGTGTTTTTTTCTTTTCACCCTGAAGTCGACTAATAAGTAGACCCATTATGCCAATGTTCTTTTTATTTTTTTCTTCGTCCCTGGAAGTGAGTTCAACAGTTTCTATCTAGGCAAGGACGGGGTATCTTTACTGTTATATGGAATTTTCAAGCATTAGTTCTTCGGGGATGGTACATATGGCAGATCAATTCTGTAAATAGTAATGTTATTCCGGCTACAGTTTGCTAATTGTTCCCGTTTCTTGAGCATGTAAATATCTTTATTTTAGCGAGCTTCAAAGCTCCTCGAAATTCGAAGTTCATGACTATCCTGTCGAAGCGAGAATAGTCTGTCCGATGTGGCTCTTTGTTTTTCTTATGTTAAATTATCCGTCGATTAATCTCTTGTGGGAGTTCCAGTTTGTCTTTAGAGTAGGAGATAATGAGTGAGGTTTAAATTTCGATCAAGTCTTCTTGAGATAAATACGTATTGATGTTGTTGTTTGTTGTCCTGTCTCGTTTAGCATTATTCCCCTATTCAGATTGAATCGAAAAAATCAAAGGTCAGTTTATACTGATGTTGTAGCCTAATAATATTAATCGCATACAGGGTTCTCTATTGTCGCTAGTGCTTCGAATCATAAAATATCAATCAGTAGTACCTAGTATGCTTACAATATATATATCTGAGAAGATATAACACTTGATAATTGAGAACATTTTAACCTCATGAAGGATTTGTTAGAAATTTTTCTGATTGATATTTCTAGTTACGGTGTGAGTGTAACAAGTGCTGGATATTTATTAGTGTTCTGGATATCCTATATTCGATTGGTTAATACGATTTTAATTCTACAGAAAAACAACGACGTCATAATTCTAGTCGAGATTATTCCACTCTCAAAATTCACTTTGCAAACTTGATTTCACATTTTTATTTTCACTCATGCTGTCATTGTATTCAGTTGGTATGATAATGATGTATTCATCGATCCTATCGATATTCCTCGGAACCCTGGATAGATACAAAATGGGACGAATAGACTTTCAGCCCATCATATATCACCCCCCATCCGCAAATTTCACCCACACAACCTTTGCATATTGAATTTCCCAAATGCATAGCCAGGTCCTCTCCCAATTTCTCCGTCATATCTTACATCCTTGCCATAAAAATAGTCCCGTGCTAGTAGCACTAGCACTACTTCTCTATGCGCCTAAAGATATGATAATCCGATCATATCACATCCCTTCTGCTAGTCCCAGCAGAATCCCCCCTCCCCACGAACAACCTTTCAGAAAGACATTCCTCACATCCCGAGCGACACGCGTAAGAGCATTTGGAAGAAGCTCACGAGAGCCCAAAGACCAAAGATGGCTGCGGCGAGGATTAAGAAGACCAAGATGCCTTCGACAGTGTTGGTGTAGACCGATCTTGGTGTGCAGCACATGGAAATCATCTTGACTGTTTTTGATTGGTTCTATTTGTTCGTGTGTATTTGGAAGTAGTGGGTATGGGAATTCTTGATGGATTTATTGGTGGGTTTGGTATCCGAAAGTCTGGTTTGTGGTTTGGGTGATTGGTAGGTAGGCGACTTTTTCTTATTCGAAAATCCGATTTGGAGATTGTTTGAGTTCTCGAGTGTGGACCGTTGAAGAAGAAGAGAGAGAAGATGAATTGAATGGGTTGGATAGGTCGGGAATGTTGGGTGCTTATAAAGGGGAGATGTAAGAGGGTTCGGTATTTTGGATATGTTTACGGCGATGAATACCTTGTGTAGTAGCCGAATGAATCAGTTTAGTACGAAATCTTGCATCATTACCTACTTATACTGTTTCATAAGTCAATGTTCTATTCATTGAATAATGTTAATTCTTATATAAGCGAATATTTATCTAGGCTTCAGAGCTCATATATTTAGAGTGTGAAGCCTGATAGTGTAAACTAGACTAGTTTCTATCCTGAACTATGTGAAGTCACTTGGGCTATATGACCGTATTCAAACTTATGAAAGATAGATTCACTTACTAGTTATCTCATAATCAGTTACTTTGATACTATTTCCTAGTCAAGCGAGGATGAGTTGAACCTTGGAAGACCGTAGTCACCTAATAAACCAGTAAAGAGTTTTTTGAGAAATATAGCCGTATGGATGATAGATATCGCATATCAAGAAACAAGTTATCTAGCGGATTTGCATAAATACATACAAAGTGTGACATTCTTCAGAATAGGAGGGTGTTTACTACTTTGATTATACGGCAGATATATAACGTAAGTTCGTACGGCTATATTAGCTTGGAAATCATAGTTTCTGAAGAGAGAGACAGAAGACAGGTTTTAGAGTGCCCACTCATTGAAGTTTGAGAATATAGATTACTATATCCATTGTTCGGATATTATTTTCTATTCTCGTACTATTTGATAGGATGGAATACAATAAATGACTCTATAGGGTGATGGAGATTAAGACCTGATTTGATCTCATTTTTTTCAAATATAGTGGAATATCGTGATATATATACACAGTGGGTAGGAAAGGTATTAATGGATCAGTAAGTCATCAAAGAGAAATAAAAATAGTCATCATAACGTCAGACGTTCGACGTTCGACGTTCGACACGGGTATAATTCAGAAAATTATGTTAGCGCCAACAACATTATTCCCGAACCCTAAATAGAAGGACAAGAAAACAAATCGCTAAGACATATATGCATCTCGTATTGTTATTATCCTTCTCTTCAATTCACTTTTTAAGGAGGTCGAATTTCGAATCAGGGATTTGCGACTCTTGTGGTGTATGTTGCTAGCCACCGGGATACTCTTCCATGATTGAAGGCAAGTAGAATGAGAGGTACCGACACCGCGAAAGAAGTTCCTACTACGATGATATTAGTGGGAAAGCATTGCAGTGTCGCGGTACAACTATTTTCATGGCATGGATACATACACATGTATTTGAGAACATAGCTCATGGGCAGCTTCCCATTATGATCCAGGGGGAATTTGTCCATTTCTATAGCAAAAAATGCTGCTACGAACGACAACGGTAGCTGCTGCGGTCAGATGATGTCTCTAGTAGTGAAGTGGCCACTTACAAACAAAATAGTGACCACTGTAAAGATCATGAGAGTCTTCCCTTGTTGCGAACTTTGATCAGCCTGCACTTGTGCAAATCTCGTAAGCTCCAAACTTTCGGTTGCTTGTCTATGCGCCGATTCAGCCTCTGATATGTTGGCTTGCTTTTGTTTGAGATCGAGGAGGTGGTTGAGCTAATTACAATGTCAGCATTCCTTTGTCCAAATTATGTCTGGCTTGATGGAAGCTACCGCGATATATGTCTTCGTACTTGAATAGAAGGGATTCGTTCCGAAATCCCCAGTGGCAAATAGCCGTTGATTAAACACTCGTCAGACGTCATTTCATCCGGTTTGAGTGACTCTCCTGCATTTACGGTTCTTTGGTTCCCAAGAGAATGCATGTTCTCATCAGCAATACTCGTATCTTTACCTGTGGTTTCACTGGCTCTTTGGGCTTTGACACCCAGTCCATTGATTGGTTCTGATTCGGGATTTTGATTAATGTTACCAAAATTCCTGCAATGTGCGCCCTTTTCCATATCATGATCACCAGTATTAGCTTCCCATTTCGCCAATCTACCTTTTCTCATATTTTAGAACTCCGAGAAAGCTGACGAAAAATCTCTTCTACAGATATCTGAAGTCGAGTTCTTGGAGTCTGTTTTTGCATAGTCTCACAATTTTCAATGCAGACCTTCTCATCCGAATTTGCGTTTTCCTGGTTTGTCTGGTATGCCTGGGTACTCGACAAGTTTTGTCGTTCTCTAACTTGTCGTATAGCCCTAGCCATCTTCAGGTACGCCCTATGAGTTTCGAATGGAGGTAGGGACATGTTTTTCGTATCAGTCATTGAAAACTAGGCATCTTGTGCCAGCTGTGCTTACGATTATCATAATTTGTTCACCAACAGCTAATGTATCTGATGACACTCCAAATTTTGATACAGGTGGCTAGACCAATAGAGGTCAATCATCCCGTTCCTTAGAAAATACTAGATGGTTATTTTACCTCGAATGCACGGCATATTGGCCGCATGAAAGAAGAATGGGCAGTAGTTGTGCAATATTGTCGGCGAGCAGAATTCGTTAGCGAAAGATTAGATCTCGACTCACTGCTCAAAGTAATGCCACGATCTTGAAGTATACGGGCTATCAATGCCTAAACACCAGTCAAGCGCAAGTCAGCGATGCATAATAGAGCTGCGATCTAAGATATTGTACCTCCACCCATTCCATCTGATGTGTGATTAGTATATACACTAGAATCATTAGTACATCAAGTTGGGCTACTTACATTGTTTGCTGGGAGATGATACCATCTCAAGCGAGGACGATTGTCAGAATATAATGTATCCATTATCGCCTGTGGGCCTGTGGCTCCGTAAAGGATCTCATAGATCGGCTTCGTAACATGGACTCTTTGCTCGCGATCAGCAACAAAAAAGTCAACGATATTAACTTCAAACTCATGACAAGCAAAAACTTTGCTGGCTCTCTCAGTAGAGTTCAGGATATGAAGCTCCTCGTATGCCTTCGTAGATAGAGTATCGTGTTTATTCCCAAGCACCGGTGGCCCATCGAGGACCTGGTGAGAGCGCAGTAGTTCTTTCAATTCATTGTCTCCTTCTACAAGCAAGTCGACTGCTTTGCCACTGTTGAGCAGAATGGCTTTACTTGCCCCGCGCCTTAGGAGGAGTTCAGCAAGATGTAGATCGCGTTTCATAACGGCAGCGAATAATGGGGTAAATCCATCGACATTGGTTGTCTCTATGTCGGCCCCCGCATCAATAAGTATCCTAGCTACTTCTATCCAACCTCCTTCGACGGCCTGATAAAGCGCCGTGCACTTCGTCAAGTTGTTGAATGACTCCACATTGGCCCCATGTTGGAGAAGTAACTCGACAATGGGGGTGCAACCAGAGGCAGCTGCAATATACAATAGCTTACAACCGTCCGAATCAGCAAGCTCAATGGTATAGGGAGCATACAATCCAAGAAGATTCCGCACACGTTCATGCTCTTTGCTTTTTACTGCTTCGTAGAGTGCGTTATCCTGTTCGGTATAATTTGGTATGGCCAGAGACCTGATACGTGCAAGTTCTCTGCGGTACTTGGCCTGAGAAACCATGGCAAAAATTTCCAAAGGTTAAGAATTTAATTCCAACAATACTGGTAAGTCGAAGTTGTTACCTCCTTGTAGATTTGTTGTCATGATTTATTAGAGGAAGAATGAGCTGCGCTCAAGCTTGAGTGTTCGCATTCTTATACGTGTTTATCTAGTGTTCAAGGCGCACCGAGAGGCGAGAGCCTGTCTGCGCAGGAGCATTTCTCTCGTGTATGCAAGCTGGTGACCGAATACATGGTTCCACAGACGCAATCAGACGTATACGCAGCTCCCATACGATGGACAACTATAATGCGTTAAGCTGAATGGTTAGAGTTATCATGATGAGGGCTGATAGGGGCCACCACTGTAACCACACTCTTAATGCCATATCATTGTATGCAAATCGTGTATCACCTTTATCCTCGAGCGGATGAACCATAAAAGACCAGTAGAATTATAAGAAATTTGATTGTTGACAGGTAGGCAGGTACTCATTTTTTGTCTTCATGTCTTTCAGCGTCAACTTGGCGCTGAGGGGAAAATTGATATAACTAGCCAGGAATTTCATAGTGTTACTAGGAAAAGAAGTTTGTATGGGACTCACAAGTATAGAATGATATCTATTCATCAATCTATTATAATATAAGATTACAATCTTTATCAAACCCGAATATTTCCCCTAATATAAAATAGAACAATTAGATATATAATCTTAACTAACTAGTTTAATCATAAGACAATGTAATTAGAAATATCCTAATATACAAGTTTACAACTTTACATAAAAACCTACCTAAGTACTTATACATATAAACACATACAAGAAACTACTTTAAAACTATTCCTCTTCAGATATCCTCAACAACTATCCTCGGAAAGATATTACTCTACTCGAGTCTCGATATCAAAACCATATCATCATCTCTCGAATCAAAGCGAAAAGAATAATCCAATGAATAATCTAATAAACTCTCCCTTACAAAGTAAAAAAAGAAGACAAACGAAAACTTAAACGTAGATGAAGAATGCGAGAAAGGATTTCCAAATTTCCAAATTTCACTATTAGCTAATACGTTCTAATTCTGATTTTACTTTACTTGTAATTATATGTATTTATGCAAATGGATAAGATGGATGGGTGGATGGATAGATAGATAGATCTCTCTCTCCTCCTCTCTCTAAAATCTAACCAAAACAACTCTAATGAAAACAAGAATGAAAAGAAAAAGAAAAAGAAATGAAAAATACCATTGAACTAGACATTATAACTATTTTCCCTTACAATTTCTGCGTGTTGTTTTCCTCCCTTCACCTCTCACCTTGTCGTCATCGACACTTCTCTTCTCTATTAAACCACTTCACTATATCTTCCATTCATTTCTCCTCTCTCGTCTCTCACACTCGTCCTTCACACTCGTCCTCTCTCACCCTCATCTCCTTTCTCCCCCTCCAATCTATCACCCCTTTCCCCTTCATTTACCCCCCCACTTCCATCTCTTCCCCCTCCAACCTATCATCCCTTTCCCTTGTCACCCCTCTCACCCCCTCAAAGTCGGATCCCCACACTCCAAATCAAACCACACATTCGGCACGCTCGGAATAATGCTATCCAAGCTCTGCGCCACGCTTCCCCCAAAGAGATCACATCTGGGTGCGCCCGTGCCGGGTTCCGGATAGAAGGAGTAGGAGACGCATCCTTTGTCTATGCCGTAGACGCCCTTTTGTGGTGATTAGTTACATCATTCGAAAAATTCCAAAACTTCATTTCCAAGTGAAGATGAAGATGAAGATAAAGATGAAGATAAAGATGAAGATAAAGATGAAGATAAAGATGAAGATAAAGATGAAGATAAAGATGAAGATAAAGATGAAGATAAAGATGAAGATAAAGATGAAGATAAAGATGAAGATAAAGATGAAGTGAAGAGGAATAGAGCAAGGGGGAAGAGAGGAAAGAAGAAGACTCAATCAAGATAGGAAAATGAACAAACAAGCGCAAGAAAAGAAAACCCAAAACTCACATCACAAAACTCCCAACATCCCTGCAACGTAACCGGTACCCCGGCCTTATCCTCCACAAACTCGGCGAGGAAATAATCCCCAACGGGTAAACCATGGAGTCCGCAATGGACAGCGGCGGGATTCGGGGTGCCGCTGGCTTGGATGGTGGTGACGGTCGTGGTGAAGGCGATGGTGGTGCTGGGGTGGAGATCGGTGGTGCCGGTTGAGATGGGGAGGGCGGGGAGTGAGGAGGAAGAGGTGGTGGATGAGATGGGGCTGGAGAGAAGGAGAGAAGATGAGAGGGAAGATGAAGATGAGGAATAAGGAATCGTAGTTGTAGAAAAAAGAAGAGTCGTCGAAGTAGATTCTTGAGTAGAAGTCGCCGGAGTCGATGTTGCTGATATCAATGACGATGTTGACGACAATGATGACAATACCCACGATGAATAATTACCCGATATAGAAGGTCCTGCACTCACACTAGTCCCCGTTCCTGTTTCCAGTGTCGAAGAAGAAGTCACACTCGCATTTCCCAGACTCGTCGTCCAACCTCTGCTCGATGTCTCCACTGGAGTAACTGTCCAAATCCCCATCGAATTGCCTCCACCAGTCACAGCTCCCGAAGGCGAGCCCGAAGGCAACGGTGTGGTGGTCCAACTCGCCGATACGGATACGGGGGTTGTAGATGGTAAAGAAGTGAGAGTCCAAGAACCGCTCTCGATAACAGTAATCCATTCTGTGCTAGTGCAGCTTTCGGTAACGGTAACGATGCTGGTGGGGAGTGCAGAACAGAGAGTGAGAGATGTATTGTCGATGATGAGGGTTGCTGAAAGGGTGGATGTTGGTGATAGTGATGTTGATGTTTCGATTGCAACGGGAGTAGCTGAAAGAATTGGATCTGTAACTGTAGAAACAATCGAGACTGTAGTTGAGAGACCCCCACCTGCCGAAACCAAGACATTTGTTGCCGAAGAGCTAGCAATAGACGAGCTCGATACAAATGTCGAAAAGGAAGTACCAGAAACTGTAGTACTAGTTCCTGTTTCTTCAGCCACCAAATGCGGATGTGTAAATGGTAAAAGTGATCGAATCGAAGTGTTGGAATCATCATCATCATCGTCGTCATCGTCATCATCATCATCATCGCCACCCCACGAACCACCTCCATGTCCATGTCCACCTTTTCCCGAATCAGTACTCCACGGCCAACCCCATCGTTTTTCTTGAATTTGTTCCTGAGGATTCTTTAGTACATTTAAAAATATCTCCATTCAAAGCAAAAGATAGAAAAAGAGGGGATTCAAGAAAGCGAAATAACATACAATTTTCTCGCTCGGTTGAGGAACCGCCGAAACGATATTAGACAAAACGGCGATAGCGCCGACAACAGTAAGAAGCTGCATTGTACTTCCGAATTAACTTGAGATGTAAACACTAGCCAAATAGCAAGCTAATAAGTAGAACCTTTAGTAAATATAAGGAAGTGTAAAGGAGTACCAATCAAGTGATTAATATCACCAAAAAAGAGAGTGAAGAAATGAACGACTTGAGATGAAGGGAAAAGACTGTGATTTCGTATTCGAGCTACTATCTAGCTATTCACTTTTGAAGGGATATTCATCTTATCTTATAAGTATATCGAGAAACACTTCTCTTCTCTCAATAACCCTACTCCTTGGTAGATTATTGATAGTATTCTCATCAAGGCGAGGGACACCATCAACTCATAAGAAAGGGGGTTCCAAGTGCAAGGGAGCACAAATATTTACCGAACCAAGGCAAGGAAAAGAAAGTAAAGCAACAAACAATTCACATACACTTCACAAATTCAAATTCATCTCACCCTTTCATAGTAGCTAACGGACTGTCATTCAACCTAATCATCCATGCCACTTTCGTTATTCCTATTTACAGTTTGGGAAAAATTCAAATAACCTCTGCAATGCTACCATACCAATCCCTTGATAACGCCGAATATAATGCTCCTTGGGAAATAAACCCATTCCCTCAAAAATGCTGAAGGGGTATCGTACAATAATGTATGAGCAAGGGAAAGTACTGATTGACATTCAGTATTCCAATTTTTGCTAGATATGCAGATCTAGACAATTCGACTGTGGAGTACAGCAGGGACGAATCGGAATTTTGTACTGAAGCCGTGTAATTTGAACAGCGCATCCCGTAAACAACTGACTTCTTCAGTCCATAATCTCCTCATGAAACAAAACTTTCATAGACCATTCGTCATCGTGGTATCGTGGTTCAACAATCTCAATCCTCCCAAATAGTATCTAGATTCAAATCACCTCGTCTTTCAGCGCCACAAACACTCCAACGTTTTCTCTTGTCTCGTGTACCAAACCCTCCCAAAACTCTGTTACGACCTCCTGAAGTATCTAATCCTCTGGATTTGGCATCTTCACCTTCATACCCATCCGCCGCATCTGCTGCAGCTTTCAACTGAGCAATTCTCTCTGCTTCCAAGGCAGCTTCTTCTGCATCTGGTGTATCAGGTATTGTTTCCAAACTGGATATACTTGGGCTGCGAGATCGAGTCGAGGTAGGCGTGGAAGGAACTGATGAAGATGCATATGAACCAGGGTAATACAATGAACTGGTGGGATTATTGGATGTGAGGTAAGATTCGCCGAATTTCATAGTGTGGTATGATGGGGATGAAGTCGACGAAGTCGATGAGGATGGTGTCGTGGGTGTTGTGCCACTGTAGAAAGGACTTGTTGGTGCAATCTGTCGTAAAGGAGAGGCTGGTCTTCGTACTCGTGTATAACTACCACTGGAAGGTATACCCAAAATTGGTGAGGCACTTCGATCTGCCATTTTTGGAGAATCCTCCTCTATCGCTGACTGTCCATCTTCACTGATATTGATCAAAGCACGGTTCGGAAAGCCTGGGAACACTTCATCTGCTGGTTTTCTGGGTATGCGAACTCGAGCTGGTGAACTCAAAGGACTCGCGGGTCTCTGAGGAGACATGAGTAAATGACCAGCCCCATTTACGCCTGGGAGTGATTGTGCGCGCGACATTGGAGGTGCGAGAGCACTGCCGTTTGATCTTGATCTAAAATGACCTCTAGCATATGGTGAGGTATTTCGAGGACGAAAAGGAATTGAAGGAGTAACAGGAGATGACCATCCCGGAGAACGAGGGGTTTGAGGAATTGGATCTGTAGTTCGACGAAGGTTCGGAGGCCTGCTAGATTGTTCTCGATCCTTTATCGGAGTTTGACTATCGTAGAGGGCAGATTCTTGTAATCGTAATCTTGGTACTGGAGATGCTCTGAATTCCTCGAGGGAGTGGAGTTCAGGCACGGGTTCCATGATTATATGCGACCTTTGTGAGGACCCAATAACGGCATGGAACGGCTGTATTGGTGAATATATGATAAAGAAGTACAGGAAGGTAATATCGCGGGTAATTTCTTATTTGCTGCAATCGATAAGGAAAAGTAACCAAATCTTTTTTTGGATAATCTTGAGTCTTGACGTGTCTCTCTTCCTTGAGTGGTTAATATCTTTTCTCCAAGTTGAATTGGAAATCAATAATGTTTGGTGAAGGGTTGTTGTGTTGTGTTGTGTTGTGTTGTGTTGTATTGTATTGTATTGTATTGTATTTGTACAGTAATGTTTTCTTGGAAGTTTCGCGATACCAGCGCAAAGAGGAATGAAGAATGGGGAGAGAGAGAGAGAGAGAGAGAGAGAGGGAGGGAGGGAGGGAGAGAGGGATGATAAGAAAGGGAGTAGGTAGAAGGAGGAGTCTTTTCTCGTTCTCGTATTCTTCCCCTTTCCTATATAAGAATTGAAGTCTCTTTGGTTTATGAAATAAAAAAGTTGCAAGTATCGAATTATCTGTAGAATGAAGAAGCGAAAATGAAGCCGGCCAAAATTGATTGATGTGATAGCATATGGTTGGTTCGTGTACTAGGTATACATTGCTCATGTGGATGTCATCATGTTCATGTTCATCTTGATGTTCATATTGATGTTCATGCTCATGCTCAATGTTTACTAAGGTTGGGGAAGTTTTGTTTCTTATGAACCAGGAATTTCCTTAATTATTATTATTGGGGGGGTGGGCTGGTGGTGGGAGGGGAAGGGAGGGATGGGGGGACGAAGAGCGCGATCATCTATCTCTTTTGGGGAGGCCGGTAGATGGAGTTGGTGAGTTGATGGATTGGAAAAAGATGCAGGAAAAAGCTTCCACTTCGGAGGTTTATCAATTTAAAGGGTCCTTTTCCTAGGTTCGTGAGTCGATCAATAAACTAATACTCAAGGTAGCAATAATGGAGAGAAAAGTATCGGTGAAGGAAAAACATTGGGAAAAGTGACCAGGATGTGCATCCAAGGAGTTTGTGATCTTTTGCGTTGATTGCTTTGATATCAAATGAGAAACATAGAGAGATGAAACCGAAGGAGTGCTTAAGACCTTGGGTATAGATGGCATTACTTGATACTTGCGTAATACTATGATTCTAACTATGAATATGACTATGGCTATAACCATAACTATGAAATACTAGTCGTCCTTCTCTTTTTCGTAGCTTAGGATCTAAAGAGAAAAGTCTTCTAGACTCAAGAGTTCCAGAGTCTAGAAGAAAAGATTCCATTTTCACTACTCCGTACCGACACAGCAATAACATAAGGTTAGGTAGATACTCGTACTCAACCACGCACGCACACACGCGTTTAGTTGAAGCAAACAATTTCTCCCAAATATCATTGATGGTGACGGTCACTTCGAGAGAAAGGATTGTGTCTAGATCGACGACTCCATACTACTCCATATTCCTCGCTACAATTCCCATCTTTCTCTCTTTACTACTCGAGTACCTCAAATATTATCAAGGAGTACCTAGTAGTTGTAGGTAGGTAGATATCTATATTTATACCTATTTATATATAATATATACATTTATTTATATTTATTTATATTTATTTACATCTATTTATGTCTATCTATATCTATCTATATACATTTACCTACATCTATTGAGATCTATATATACAATATATACAATATATATACAATCAATCCACATAAAGGATTAAATGAATATTACTACCCGTAGGCAGAAAACAAATGCAATAAACATACCTCCTACCTCCTACCAACTCCACAAAAACCTCCAGACAAACAGTCATTCACTTCCTGTATTGGACCATCTACCCAGGACCTAGGTATATCATATCATACCAAACCAGCCCAACCCATGATAAACCACAGCGTTTAACAGAGTAAAACCACCAATCGAATCTCCACATCTCCCCAAAACAATGCACCCCATCTTTAAAATGCATCAACATACCTACACATACATACAGACATACATTCAACGATCTGATCCTCCCACCCGCCAGCTTCCTTCATGGATGCATGCATACCGAGGATAATTAAAGGGAATGGCGTTACCTAGGGGAAAGGGAGGCGTGCCATGATTTCGTATTCTTCCGACACTCGATCATGCAGCTGCGAGACTTATCTCTGTGTGTATGTGTACCTGAACTGTAATAAATATATAGTTAATATATAGTTCTATGGAGGAGTACGAAAAGTATAGAGTATTGACCTCGGTTGCAACATCAAGTTATGATTTATTTACATGCTGGGTACTCCTTTCTCCTTATTCTGCTCCTTTCTCTACTCCATCCTCTATCCTCTGTCCTCTGCAATATCACAAAATATAACAATCCCCATCAAACTCACCAGCTTCTTCTCTCGTGCAGAAAGATACCCATCATACTACCTTTCCTTTTCCTCTCCCTCTCCCTCCCATTCCTCCCTCCCTTCAGCTTTGTTCCCTCCCATCATTCCCACCGTGTCACGGATCATGCGGCTTCGAATCTTCTCCCGTTCCAAACTCCCTTCCATCACCTAGCATGATGTTTCATTTCAACCTTTCCAGCCCCTCCATAAAAAAAACAATTAAAAAAACGGTTATGGCGGCGTCTTGAATGTTTGCAATCCATTCGTTCATGTACGATGTAGCTGCCACGCGGTATCATGCAGCATGATCTACAGTTGGACAAGCCAAAATGAAGGCCAAACAATAAAATCGTGGAAGCGTACTACGGAGTAGGAAGCCAAGCCGCAAACCGCATCCTGAGGATGTAATTGCGTTTTCTTATGTTTGAAATTGAAATTTATACGAAGGCTACGGAATGATTATTTGTACCGTTTTTGGTGGTGGGTTGGCTGGAGAGAGGAAGGTGTATCGCTGTATTGTTGTTCAATTGTACCGGTATGGTGATTTCTTCAGGTTTGGTGTGTGTACGGACTGGGACTGACTCGTGTTTACGTGAACAAGTACCATTTGTAATTCTCTGTACAATGCCAGCTTGCTTGATAGATAGCATGGAGAAGTGAGGGTTCACCTAGGGATTGTCC